CATGATAACTTTCCACTTTTTAACCTCAGCCATTTTAGTGCTGCAGCTATCTTAAAATATATCAGAAGTTTGATTTAAATAAAAGTAGGATCTTTTCCCATTCTGTCCCCATATTAAAAAGTGACAGAAAGATGTGTGCTCATGTTAACAGTAAAGCTTTACTGTCAAAGCAATGATAACTTGTTACTACATGAATAAAGACATTATATGGTAGAGCAAAAGGCTTAAAGATCTAGGCAACCACCCAGTCGCACACAGTTTGAAGGGGAAATACCCTACTACAGTCACACTTTCCAACAGAACTAAAATTGTAATGGCTTAAAAAGGAAACTATAGTTACTGTTATGCTCTTCACTGATAAGCATGATACTTTACAGGTGCAAAACAAGATCTTTTGCAGTTTAGACAGCAAAAGAAACACCATTTTGACTAGTGTTGAAAGGATGGAAAACAAGAAATGGAGAGAATGCTGGTTTAATATTGTCCAAGAGCCAAAAAAAAAATCGATTTGATGGATTAAAAATTTGTTGGGCTTCTAACAAAAGTCGTATTTTATAATAAATACAAGAGTGAGTAGATGTTGAGAGATTAGTGAAGGAACTGTAATTGTGAGGAAAGAGTTGAAGGACAAGAGGTTAGCAGACAGGAGGGAAACTATTCGTACTGCAAAGTTTATACATAACGGTACAGCAATAAATGGGAAGAGGACTAAGTTAAGAAGGAGCTTGAAAGCAAAATTCAATTTATTTAATAGAAAATGACAGACATGATAGAGGCAGATGCAACAAAACTACTAACCCTTCACTTCAAGTTGTACTGAAGGAGGTTCACAGTCTCTAGGCAGTATTTGGAAGCCACAAGCACCACATATATGAGCCAGCTGTACTGCCACAAGTTGGGAAGTTTAACATTGGTAAGAGTGGCACAGAGGAAGAAGTCCTCAATAAAGGATCCAGGTAATGTGCGTCTGAAGTCTACAGATTCCAAATCTAGCGTAGCCCCTACTGCATTTACTGTCTGCCACGTGGAGGGTGAAAACACTGCACAGAAGTCCAACTGCCCCAATTACACATAGCTTTGCATCTCTGAGATCTTGGAGTCCTTGGCAATAATACTCATGAAGTTGTGGGTGATGGGTGAGGTATCAGAGGGCTGGAAAAGGCCAACACAGTGCTCCATTTAAAAAAAATAAAATAAAAAGGAGGATCTAGAGAGCTACAGAGCTGTTAGCCACACCCTCAATACCCTGGAAGCTACGGGAGCATAGGTTAAGGAAAGCTATTTGCAAGCATCTGAAGGAGGAAAGGCAGCAGCATGGATTTACTAAAAAGAAATTTATGTCAGATAATTTTCATCTCCTTCAACAGAGTAACTACTTGGAAGGATAAAGGAAATGCTGTAGATATGGCATATCTGGATTTCAGCAAGGCTTTGGAGAAGGCCCCACATGACCTTCTCAAACACACTGGAGAAATTTAGGCTAGACAAAACTACTACAAGGTGAATAGACAACAGGCTCAATAGCTGTAAGCAAACAGTAATTAAAATGGAGCCAAGTCAGAATGACAGGAGGTTTTGAGTGGAGTCCCCCAGGGTCTGTCCTGGGCCCAGTGCTGCTTATGTTTATTAATGATGGGGATGCTGACATAGAAAGCTTCTCAAGCAAGCTTGCAAACATCACAAAACTGGGAAGACTGCAAACACATTGGAGGATGGGAGTGCAATTCAGAAGAATTTCAATGGAGTGGAAAGCTGGGCTGGAGCTGACAGGATGAAGTTCAATACTGACAAGTGCAAGGTGCTACAGCTGGGGAAGAATAATCCAAAATACATGTACAAAATGGGTGACACCTGGCTGGATGGCAGCACTACGAAGAAGGATCTGGGAACTCTGGTGGAGGACAGACTCAGGGTGTGTCACCACTGGGATGCAATTGAACAAAAGGCAAATGTGGTTCTGAATTGCATAATAGAAGCATTAGGTACAAGAGATGGGAGGTGATCGTGCCCCTTTACGTATGGCCGAGTAGAATATTGTGTGCAGTTTTGGGCTCGACATTTTTAAAAGGACATGGAAAAGTTAGTGACAGTCCAGAGGCAGGCAAGAAAAATGATAAAAAGCTTGGAAGGCAAGTCATGCAAGAACAGGCTGAAGGACCTAGGCATGTTCTTGTGGAAAAGGCACTTAGAGGGGACAAGATAGCAGCCTTCAAATACCTAGAGGGCTGCCATAAAGAAGAGGGAAAGCACCTTTTCTCTCTCACTGCAGAGAGGAGGATGCAGACCAATGGCCTGAAGTTGCAACATAAGTAGGGTTAGACTGGATATCAGAAAAATCCTGAACAATGAGGCAGCGGAATAGACTGCCTAGGGAAGTTGTGGACGCCCCCATCACTGGAGGTGTTCAAGAAGAGGTTGGGCAGGCATTGGTCAGAAAGAATCTAGCCATAGCTATGTCTATGTTCTACTGTGAGCATTTCCAATGCTTCGGGGCTTTACTGGCTGCCACATGGGAATGGGACAGAATTTTTTCCTGATGCTACATTTTCCTCAGAAACATTGGGCATTGACTACAGCCAAGGCCAGGGATTCAGACTGGGATGTGCCAGTGTTCCTGCTGGGTCTTAAAACCCAAAGGTTCCTAGCGAGAGGGTCTTGCCCATTTGCTCAGGGTCAGACAGATCGCTGTATTTGAGGTCAGGAAGCAATTTTACCCCAAGATCACATTGGTATAGACTAAGAGGCTTTTTGCCTTCCTCTGTAGCAGGTGGCATATATACTGTTAAAATCACATAATATTAAACTTTCAGCTCTAACAGTGACCAAGCAGCCCCAAGTAGAATTAGATCCCTTTGCTGCTTAGTAATTCACCAAATAGCTATCTTTTTCTTTTAGTAAAGGTGCACCGATATATCGCATCAGCACTGATAAAAGGAAAACTGACATTATCGACAATCAGCATTTTTTGGCCGGTGTAGCCAATAATGTCACCAATAAATGCTGCATGCCTGTGTGCAGCCGCAGCATGCACGTGACCAGGAATGCAGCCCTGCAGCTTGGAGAGCAGCACCCGGCCAGTAAGTCTGCAGGGGAAAACAGCAGGGGCCGATTGAGGCCCCCATGGTGAGGCAGCAGGGCTGGGGCAGGTGCTGCTGCACTGGGGCAAGGCAAGGTGGAGCCACAGACAGCTAATTCAGGGGGCGGTGGAGGGAAGAGGGGACAGCTCCCCGCTGCCACGTGCACCCCCAGGGAAGGTATGGGGGCATGTGCCCCCCAGATTTGTGCGCAGGGTGGGGGCGAGTTGCCCACTGAGGGCTTGGGGCCAGGGGCCGCTGCCACCCATCCTACCCCCACCCACCCCAAGCCTGCAGCCCACCCTCACCCCACACACAAATCCAAGGGGCACATGCCCCCATGCCTCCCCAGGGGTGCACGCAGCAGCAGGGAGCCGCCCCCCACACCCTGGACAAGCCGCCCACAGCTCCACCCCGTCCCACCCCAACTGGGCAGCACCTGCCCCTGCCCCAGCCCCATTCCCTCACCATGGGGGCCTCAATCTTCCCCCCACCCCACTCCCTCACAGATTTGCATGCATACTGGCCATCAGATTGGTATTGGCCGATATGGCTGGTTAATAATTGGCCATCAGTAATCGGTCAAAAACATCTTTATCAGTGCACCCCTATCGTTTAGCAGTCTAGCCAAAATAAAGGTTTGCACATCTATCTTTTTCCTCCATTAAATGTACTATAGTAAGAGCATATGAGAGAAACATCTAAATCAAATGATAATCAACCCCTCTTCTCCAAGACACGGCTTCAACTCTGCAGCTCATGTGCAAAATTATAACTTCACTAGCGTCACACCTGATTCACAGAGGATGAGAAAGTGTGTATTTTTGGGCAAAGCCAACTGCATTTTAAGTGTCTTGTATTTTTCACTTTTATAATTCATAAATCTGATTCAAACAAAACAGAAATTTCAGGTTACATACGAAAAACTGAAATTTCTTTCAACATGAAGAAAATTCTCTCATAAAACACAGATGGATGGTAACATTCACTAAAACATAAGATATGTTGAGATTTTAGAGTTTAGAGTTAAACAATACACATCTATGAAAATAGTAAAAAGAGTTCATAGCCCCAAACCAAGGCAACTGCAGTCTCTCGACTACTATATTCCTCAAGCCTTCCTTTCAATCCATCCTATTTATAATCTTTAATTCTATATTTACACTTCTGTTCTTGCAAATGGCGCAAAGGTTCACTTGCTTTTGTACATATGCCTCTTGACTTTGGGTCTTTCACATATTAGATCCTTTATATGTGCCTGCACAATGCTATGCATGCTAACCATTATTTGAATTCACATAGAACCCAAAGAACTAGACACTGTCCTTGCAGGCAGAGAAGCAATAACTTGAATAATTTCATTTAGATACGCACCTTACCAACTGTGATAAGCACACAATCAACATATGTCATATACATGATTTACATTTAAAAAGAAGGTATCAGTTAAACGTCACTGTTTCTCAACCCAACCAAGTTTCTTGTAAGTTACTAAGTTTCTTGTAGCAAAAGTATAAAATTAAAAAGTTATCTTAATATACCTTTTAGGTTTACAGATTATCACAATTATAGGTAAAGGAGATATCCAATCACTTACATATTTCCCACATTTCAGAACTTCCTGAAAAGGCAGTTCTTATACTATAGGAGATATTTATGTATGCAATAATAAAACTTTTGCATTACCTTCCTTTGTCCACATTACCCTAAAAATGCAAGGGTTCTGAAGACTTACACTGCAGTGTACTAGTATAAATGCTGAACTCACCAGCAGCATATCAACAGCTCACTTGCAACTCTAAGCCATTGTGACAGTAAGTATGTAAAAGAAAAACAAACAGTATTATCATATATCAATCCCAATGTTTTTATTAATGCACTATAAATTAAGGTGCCAGTTTGAACTGTATTTTGCTAAGTACTAACCATGGATTAGAGAGCCATTTAACCACTGTATATAGTAGTTCTGTGGAAAAGATAGCAGGATCTCATTGCTGATTATTGAGAAAGGTAGAAGCAGGACGGCACCAGCTGAAACTGCAAGAGTGAAGGTGCTCAAAAACAGCCTGAAAGTCAAAGAAATGTATCACTGTTACTGCCAATGTTTCAAACAGCAAAGAAGCAGTTAAATCTAATTCACTCATTGCTCAATAAAAATGATCGACTCTCTGGTACCAAAAAACTACTCATATCAAAAGATTATACTTATAAAATGGTTTCCTGAATTATCAAAATTAGAGTAAAATAATTCTCTTAGATTCCCCACCTCCCCTCTTAGAAATTAAGCACATGCAATATCACACATTAGAAAAATATTTCAGCATGGGCTACCATTCTTTGAGACTCCTAAGTATGTGATGAAGACTGGGGAAGCACATACACTGGTTCTAAGTAAGTAAATCAATCCTTTTGTCACTTACAGGTCACGTAGGATCACATTTGAGCATTAATATTTAATGTGGAACTGCAGATTTACTGTATTTCTACCCATACAAAGAAAGAAGTCTTCAGTGATTTAAAGGTCTAAAGATTTTGACAACCCTTAGGTAACAGAATAAAGAAAAATCTACTAAAATTAACGAAGTACTCAAAATGTTGCAGGGAAAATCCACCCAGCTTCAAGACTCCATATTTGATTTATACTCAATGCTATCTTGTAGTATTATGCAGAACTGTACACTCTAGAATGTAAGCCCAAGCAATAGTGTAAGATGCTAAGTCTGATACTACAACACAATTTTCAATAATTTTCAAAATTCCATGACTGAAGGTGAAAATACACACTGAAGTAAGATTTTCTTCCAGGAAACAGGCAATAACATTCTTTACCTAAAGACTACATTCTTTACCTAAAGACTTCTCTCCCATCCCAGCCAGCACGCAAAGAGTCTGCTGCTGCAAATTCTAACTCATTCAAATAATCCTTATTCACATGAGAAGTCCTAATGAAGTCTACATGATTACTTTTATGAAGGGTTACACAATCAGGCCAAAATCTAAATTCTTAAAAAGGAAGATTGTGACATCAGCCTTTGGGCCTAAAACATTTGTAGTAGGCTAAGCAAAGAAGTTGTAGCCCTCTAGTCCCTACTGTGTGTTGTTGTTTTTCTCTTTCTTTTTTTTGAACAAAGCCATGTTAACTATTATATGTAAAAAAATATCATCTTTATGAGTACTTGCAAAGTTACCATTTAATCCAAAAGAAATGTACACAGAAAATAAACATGAGTTTAAGATTATCAGGATAGGAAGCATCTTTTAATACATACATGTATATTTATACCAGGCTACACTTTGATTTTTAAAGATAATAAAAGAAGCTGAAGCACCTGATATTTATTATGCTATTACAAAATTAAAATGTAACAAATAAAGTTATCTTATTAATTTTTGCATAAAAAGACAACTGATCCTACTTCTGCAGGCCTTTCTGAGAGATGCCAGCCAGTTAATCTGTAGCTGGAAAAGACCAGTCAAGAAGGCAAAACAGCCTTAACCTGGAGTCTGCAATTAAATCTTCTCTTACTAGAAAATACTTTCACTAAATACCCTGCATCCTAAACCCAGAAACCAAAATCTGAAGCCCTCAATTACACTTCATTATGAAAATACAGCTAAAAATCTGATTTCTGTGACAGTTCAATGGTTTGCAATGTTTCTCAGTTTGCTTTTTAGGAATCCTATTTAGGGATTTTTGGATTCATAGTTGGTGCCAGGCATCACTGAGAAGGGCAAGTGATTTTTACAACTACGGCAGCATCTTTATCTTTTTTCCGTAACTGCCAGGAATAGACAACACAGGTATAAGACTGTCTGGCACACAAAATAATAAACAGCTTTCAACATATTCAGTGCTTCTCCACTACTTATACTGTAAAAAAGTCTGTGAGATGAGCACTATACTCCCTCTGCTGAAGTATATCAGTACTACTGGGAGCAAGAGAGGGCGTTACCACTGCAGACTAAGTAACACACTACCATCAGCATAAGAGAGAGAGAAAGATGAGACGTGTTACATACTTTTTGTTCTTGTGGTCCTTCAAACATTAAGAGGATTTTAACAATTCCCAGAGCAGAAATGTAAATTGCTAGCAGCCAACAGGAAGAGAGATTACATTTTCAAATCTCTTCTATTTAAGAGGAAGGAACTAACGTTCCAGGGAGCCTGAAACCTGTTATAAGCACCCAATTTACTTTCTAGAAAAAGCTTTAGGAGCAAGAAATACTACATTAGAGAAATACATCCTGAAGGAAGCTAAGAACAGTGTTCCAGAAACCTAACAGCAGAAAAGCCCCAAAACAGCAAATGGCAGAAGACAACCCTTCAGTAAAGTTCCCTAAAAACCATTTGGCTTTTTATTCTGAGTAAGGAGGCAATAACGAGTGCAGGAATCTGCTGAGGCAGAGAGAGAGAGCATCTGAGATTGTGCGCAAGAGTGCAGGCAAAGAATCAAGAAATTATGATGCCATACATTGGGTATTTCCAGAAAATAAGTAGAAGGTACTGTGCACAACCAAAGAACTTGGTAAAAAGAAATCTGTATTAGTCCTGTATAGAAGTACTTCCCTTAAGGAGATCAACATTTAAACATTCTTCAGTGTCAATAATCAGAGTGTGATGTGATAACATGTAGATCTTCAGGGGAGCATCTGTATGCTAACAACAGTCAAAAATGCCTCCGGAATGTTTTAAAGATCCTGAACAAGTTAGTTACTGTGCTGCCAATTATGAGAGGAGCATGTTTAAATTTTAAAGCAAATCATATAAAAGTTTAAGGAGAACACTGTAAACTTATTTTAAATTGAAGTCCAATATAATTATTATCCTGATATGACTAGATATCTCAGAGGATGGTGTCTACAGAAACCAGAAGTGACAACGGAAAGAACAATATTTAGTTTTCCTTAAATGGAAGCAATCATTAAAAGACCTGTGAAATAAGAAGCTTGGGTAACTGTTCCAACTTTAAGTATGACTGGCAGAAACGGAGGAGAAATTTGCTCGAGAAAGGATAAAAATATAAAAATTTTGGCAGGAAGCCGAGCTGGCAGCCAGTGTGGCTCCAGCCGACCAGGCTCCAGTTTTGGGCAGCGCGCACTGCCACTACATGTGTCAACCTGCTTTTTCTCAGTGAGGGTTCTGTTGATCCTGGGATCCCCCTCCCCACCACACTGCAAGGTAGCAGCCCAGGGAACACCTATATGTGCGTTGTGTGCCTCGACAGATGGGTCTGCAGCACCACATACCACACATCTGCACTCATCTGGATGTGTCTTGCAGGATCATTTGAGCATAATTTTACCTAACACCCTGCCACTGCAGTAGCCACAGCATTGGTGGTACTATGTCTCTCCTGCTCTCTTCATAAGATGCACTGAAGGATGTTTGTGGGGTTGTTGTTTTGTTTTTAAACTCGGGTATTTTATGCCTTTGGTGAACAGGTGGTGTGTGGCAGGACAAGAGCGATGTTCTTGCAGACTATTGTGGCAATTTATTTTATCTATGAACAGAGGGAACTGGACTCAATAGCTCAGAAGGTCCAGTTCAGTCTTACATTCCCCTAAGTAGTAATAAATAGATCCACAGGAACAGAAAGAAAATAAAGAAAAAGTGACGATGCAGAAAAGGATATATGAAAACAGAGTTGGGGAAAGGAATACAATACTCAAAAAAGGCAAAAGTGGAGTGGAAAGACAGAAATGGAAAAAGGTGTAGGAAGCAAAGAGTTACAGTGCATAACAGTGCAAATTTGAGGGATTTATCTGTTTGGGGGCACTGTCTATGTACACAGTGTTCACACAGACCCGTGATGTCAGTCCATGAACCAGCCATCTGTATATGGGGAAGACCAGTGTACACGTGTGGAGAAAAGGAAGAAAGCAAGCAGCAGAATGCAATATTGTTAACATTCAATCCGATCACAAAGACCTTAAAAGATGCTGATTCTCAAATCTTGCCATTATCTCAGTTTTCATTCATAAATAAAGCTTGTAGCCCTCATGGCATGGAAAAGAACTTGCACATGAAACACCTGAGGCTCACATACTAAAAGACGCATAAAAGGACCCACTTCCTATTATATTTTTTTAAATTCCAAGATGTTTAAACCTATTGCATGGTTTCTGAATAAGAGGGAAAAGACAAAAAGAGACTTAAGAGTGAGAGGGACTGAATATGGGGGTATGAAGATAAATAGGGGAAAATTTAGTGAGGATAAAGTGGTCTCAAGGAAGAAACTGGATTCAGAAAAAAATAGGGAAAGGAAATGTATGTGAATGGAGTAGATATTGTACTCATGAATTTGACTTAGCCTGTCATCTACAAAAGCAAAGTACAGGTGAAAACCGCTTCCTGTAGCACTGCTTATTTTTTCCATAAAGCAGCATACCATGTTTACATGCACACCACACTTGCTTCCCCCCACAAAATTAGCCTTCCAAAATTGGGGCATGTGTCTTATGTGGAGGAAACTGATTTTCTGCCCAGAATAGAAGCATGGAAATGCTGTAAGATGGCAACTGCTTCCTTTCCTCTTCTTCTCTCAAGTAGCTGCATGCAGGGGAGATTACAGTCCAGCAGGGGTAGATCTGAGGAGTGGAGGAGGGGGGAAAGGGGTAGAACGTAGGGGTGCAATCACAGGGGTGATTCCTGTTCTACCCAAAGTTTAAAACTAAACTGCCCACAAGCAATGGCATTTCTATTCAGGCAATACTAAACAAATCAATTGACTTTATGGCTCATCATTAATCTACCCAGTTCCTGCTAATCACTCTTCACTCCAAAGGGATCAATTCCTTCCTTTTTAGCGGTCTTGACGTTACACAAATCAAGCTATCCTCTCTTCAGCAATTTTGCTGTGTTAGCTACTCTCTTCTCTTATTTCACAGCCCTGCAGACTATTGTCAGCTCTTTTCAAAATCCTAGGTCTGCCCATGGAGCCCAGTC